TAATTTCGGGATAAAGAAGGCTTAAAAGTGAGAATTTTCCCCTTAAAGTTATGGGGGATTATAGATACCCCTAAATCTAATCAATTTCCCTTTTATATGGGAGTCCCATGGGAGTCCCACGGGAGTCCCGCGGGACCCCCATGGGAGTCCCGTCGAATAGACTAATAAGTAACATATAATAAGTGGGTACTAGCCTATTTATGATGTATCTTCGCGCTATTACTCGTTTAAACTCTACTAGTAGCCGAACGTGACTCTCGCGACTATAAAGGTAGGTGTTAGAGATATGCTTTTTAAACCCTCTTCTAGTTCAACAGAATTGTTATTCTAGTATGTCGCAATACGAACTATACGCTAAGGCTGGCCCTTCATCCCAGATCACATTATCCCACGCCGGAATTCCTCCACCTTCTTCAGTCTATAGCATTAGCATTATTGATGACCCCCTTACGCCAGATCATTCAATTAGCCAGCAGCCAATCTATAGCGGACCAGAATCCTTAATCCTCTAAATAGAGCCGAATCCGATTCCTCCAAATCTCCGCCGTATCGGTCCTAAACATCAAAAGTTCTGGGTTCTTTAGACTACAATGAATAAGACCGACTTCGTTAAGTGGTGGCGCCATACGGCAGGTGCTCACCCACACCCTCCGCTTCATAAAGTGAACTTTGAAGCAAGGTATACCTCTGCTACTTAGGAGCACTTTGACCAAGTAGCACACTTTTAAACCGGGAAACTAATGGCACTCTGTCGGAGGTATGGAAAAGCGCTCTCGCACCCATCCTCGACATTAAATGGTTCGAAGTCACTTACTGCACATTTATCTAGCCGCGCATACATAGTTACCTCGAAAAAGGCTTTAACATAATAGGATATATAGCAATCGCTCGAACTTACGGTATTATATACGTCCGATTCTACATTCTATCGATTTGATACTAATATCTATATTATATTTAGTCTACTCGTACGCCTACCCGAAAAGTCTTTGACTAATAACGATTTGAAAGAGCCTAAGTCAAATTTATAGCGAACTCACGCCTTCCATTTCAGATCCTCCGGCATAAAGACTTTAAAGATCTAATTACAGAGGCTCAGCTTTCTCAACAAAAACTCACCCTTCTATCACCAAAGACCGCGCGGCGTCGGCTCCAGTTAATCGTCCATACAGAGCAGCAAAAGCTCCTTTCTCTTCTCCCAGCCGGAGCGAAGCTATCAATTGCCCTTGATTATTGGACCTCACCCTTCTAACAGGCATTCATGGCAATCACAGGCTATTTTATGGATATTAATTAGGATTATCATGAGATACTTCTAGGTTTCATGCCAGTTCACGGCCAGCATACAGGCTCCTATCTAGCAGACGTTCTCCTTAAGGTTCTTCAGTAACAGCAGGTTACCAATCGAGTGATTACGATTACTACAGATAATGCGTTAAATAATAAGACCTTAGTCGATAGTCTATGTGATTTAATCGAACGGTTAGAGCTTCCTAATTTCACTGAAATTGTACGGATTCCATGTCTTGCTCATGTGATTTAATTAAGTCTGAAAGATCTCCTTAGCCTAATAAAGGCTAATCCAAAAAACGACAAGACAGCAATAACATGGTCGGAAGAAAACGGGAGTGTTCTTTAATAGGCAAAGAGACAGAAGGGAATCATTTATACGCTAGCTAAGGTAAAGTAACTAATGCCTTTAACAATTTTATCTAATACTAACTACTATACTGCTAGGTACGGGCCTTCGCAGTTTTTATTAATGCCAGCCCACAGCGACGGGAGGCATTTCTAAATCTTTAAAGCGAAGAACCGAGGCTTACCCCGATCCAGGATGTACGCACTCGGTGGAATTCAACATATCTTATGCTCCAGCGCGCTAATCGCCTTTCAGATAGCTACTAAAGATATTACGCAGAGCATCAGCGCCCCAAATTCCGGCTTAGTAAAAGCGAATGGCGGCAGATCGAATACTTGCTCCATATCACAAAGCCTTTCTACAAATGGACGGTTAGCCTATTAAAGATTAAGGCGATAACAATCCATGATGTGTTCCGGGTCTATAACCGACTATTTACCCATTTTAAGTAGGCCCAGGCCCGACTTCGGCGAAAGAAAGTGCCTTAGAAAAAGGCTATGCTTAAGGCTCTTAAGGCCGGAAGTAAGAAACTCTCGGTATACTATAAAGTAACTGAGCAAGCACATGGCAGCCTATATGCAATTAGTATAATTCTTGCACCTCAGCATAAACTTGAATTCTTTAAAGGACCAGAGTGGGCAGGTGAAGTCGATAATATGGATTCCTCCTGGCATGACATATATGAAAAGTCTCTTCATAATCATTTAGAGGATTACTCAAAACGCCAGCCTAAAAAGCAAGTGCTTACAAAGGCAAAGTCCTCCTCGCATAGCACGGATGCAATGATGAGCCTCTTCGAGGAGGATTAACCAGAGCCACCACCGCAGCCGAAGACTGGGTGGCAAGAAGAACTTAAGGGATATCTTAATACTGGTATGTTTAGATGATCATGATTATAACTTAACTAAGCTAATTATATATAGAACGGAGCATAGTAAACCTATGCCATTTCTGGAAAGAGAATGAGTATAGATTTCCGATACTCGCAGCGGTTATACGGGATGTCTTTTCTATCCTAGCTACTGGCGCCGGTGTTAAGCGCCTCTTTAGTACTGCTCGCGATATCTGCCATTATCGACGAGGCTCATTGAACGAAGTAATAATACAGGATTTAATGATGCTTCGTTATTTATCTAAATTTGATATTGAAAGTGAGGAAACTGGGGAGGATTTCTAACCTGAGGCTACCTTAAATCAGGACGAAAGGACTGAGGGTGATGAGGTAAGGGAGGCGGGACTTCCTGAGTGTATACCAGAGGCAATTAGCGAGGGTGAGGACGGTGATAACTCAGATGAAGCAGGAGAGATTGTTACCGATCAGGAGGCCGCTGAGGAGTCAGATGATGATTCGGCACTACATCCATTGCCTGCCATCGATACTATAAGTCAGGCACGCCCCCAAAGAGATCGTAAGCGGCGTAGGGATGAAGATCTATACGAGTATACTAGATAGTTTAATCACAGGATACTATAATTACACTACTTTTTGAGAGGAATTAATCCAGAATCATTCAATGCTACCTCCCACTGTAAGCTAAATACCCATTAATACAGGGCATTTCTGCATATCTTATGCAGGTCACGTTTTTCTACGTGTTTACAGTGTTTACAGTCCCATGGGAGTCCCATCAAAGTCCCATGGGAGCGGACTAGCACCTCACTCCCATCTCTTGGCACTCCCATGGGACCATATGGGAGTCCCATCTACTCCCATGGGAGTGGTCCCATGGGACTAAATGATGGGAGTTGGCAAGGTCTACTTATGTAGCTAATCAATTGATCTTATATCTTATATCTTTTGATATATCTACTTTACTTAGCCTATTTGCGTGTCTATTATCTGAAACCCCCTTTTTATAAGTATATACTCCCTCTGATTATCCCCCTTACATCCCCTGCAGTATTCATCTTTACAATAATCATGTCCTAAAGCCAGCATTCTGACTTCCTACCTACCCTTTTCGATAGGGATACAGATAACCTTAGCTATCTTATTCCCTCTTCTCGGGCTCTAACCCCACCTGGTAGCTAACTCACAATCGAGCCTTTTGATGCTATTAATACCGACTTCCTTCGGCCCTCTAACCTTCTACCGATCCCACCTTCTCTTACCCGCGTTAGCCCCGATCGGAGAAAGGCATATGTGCTTTATGACGATATGGCATATAAAGAATGGGTTAACTGGTGGCTACAAACCGACTATAGGCAGAAAAGTAAGCTTTCCTAGGACTTAAATCGTAATTTAAATATATGGAGTAACTTCGACCAAGTTACCCATACCAAAGATGGTGCGCTAAAGGTGATGTGTAAGCGCTGCTTAAAAATCCTGGAGCATCCTCATTCTCTATCGCCTAGTGGTAAGGGCTATCATGGCACATTAACAATGTTAAAGCATTTAAAGACAGCAGGCTGTCGTAAAGCTCAGTAGGGAGGGAAAGGAGAAATTACTAGGTTCCTTCAAAAGGTAGTAAACCCTTATATTTTATTTAGTTATTAGGTTTTAGTAACACTCTTAGATACATAGGATAACGGCTAATCGGAAGCTCCTTTTTCACAGTCAGTTTAGGAAGAGCATCTTCTTCAATTTCTTACCCTTAATCGACTTCCATTCCACCTTATTGAACATCCAACATTTCATAAGCTATTCCGATTAGCCCGCTCTGCACCATCCACCCCCCTAATACCCTCCGCTACTACAATACGCCGTCGCCTCCGTGATATCATTACAGAACGACAGAAGTCTATCCTCTAAACGCTACCTAACGACGCAAAAATCTTAATTACATTAGATTACTGGACTTCTCCATATAACCAGGCGTTTATGGCTATCACTGGCTATTTTATTAATAGCAATTGGGTATACCAAGAGGTTCTACTTAGATTTAAACCACTTCATGGCTCTCATACTGGTTTGAATCTAAGTGGTATAGTCCTTAAAACTCTAGTTAAGCATCATATCCAGGATCGGGTATTTAGAGTCACAACTGATAACGCTACTAATAACAAGATAATGGTTAATGCTATACAGCAGGCGCTCTCTAGCGATGTGACAGTAATCCGAATACCCTGTCTTGCTCATGTTATCCAGCTATGTTTAAACCAGCTCCTTGATCGTCTGAAGGCTATTCCTCTAAATGAGAATACAGAAACGAAGTGGACTAACCAGAAGTCATCCGCAGTAAAGGCAAATGCTCGGCATCAGACACAGAGGATCTCATATACCTTAAATAAGGTCCGCTATCTTACTATGTATATCCATGCAAGTCCCTAACGCCAGGCGGCCTTTCTCCGACTTCAAGAAAAGGGACCCCAGCTTATTCTAATCCAGGATGTGAGGACTCGGTGGAATTCTACATTCCTAATGCTTCGTCGTGTAAAGAAACTACGCAGTTTCTTCCAGCCCTTCTGTGAGGAGTATGACTATAAGGAGATGTTGCTTAATAATCAAGAATGGCGTCAAATCGACTATCTTCTACAAATCACTCGGCCATTCTTTAACTATACAACAGAACTCTCGAAGACAAAGGAGGTTACGACACATCTTATCTTCAAGCTTTACAATGCCCTTTTTAATCACTTTTTCGAAGCAGAGGCACTACTCAAACGCAAACGTGTTCCATGGAAGTCAGATATACTTAAAGCACTCACAGCCGGTCGCTTAAAGCTTGATGAGTACTACTCTCAAACTGATAATCTCAAAGGACATATCTATGCAGTTAGGACAATGCTAGCACCTAATAGCAGATTTTAATTCTTCTTATCTGATAATTAGGAGCCTCACTAGCGTGATACCTACCGGAAATCGTTCCAGGAGTTATTGATTCCGTATCAAGAGCGTCTTACGACAAGTCATGGATCGACCAATACTCCAACAATAGCTTCTGGTTCTAGGCTAAATAAGATGCTAAAGAGTAACAAGATATCTACGAAGCCAGCTAGTAATGAAATAACATAATATCTTAATAGCGGTATGTTAATAATCTGTTTCTTCTCTATAGAGGATAATACTAATCATTTATACTACTAGATCTAATTAAGATTAAACCTCTTTAATTCTGGCGGGAGAACCAATCCCGTTTCCCTGCAATCGCGTTACTTACTCGCGATATTCTCTCTATCCCAGTAACTAGTGCTGGTGTCGAACGGCTCTTCAATACTGCTCGGGATGTTTATCACTACCGCCGTGGTCGTCTGAGGTCCGAAACAATCGAGGAGCTTATGTTATTTCTATGTGCAACAAGATTCAATCTTAAGGAAGCTGAGGCAAAGCAGCTCCAGCAGTTCTTTTCATTAGCTGAGCTCGAGTCATTAAAGGAGGAACTTAATGATCATACAGAGGATGCTGAGCTTGATTTAATTAGTGACAATGAGGAGGAGGAGGAGGAGGAGGGAGTAGACAGTAGACCACGAGAGACATCTCCTCATCTAATAGATATAGATATAGAGGTGACAGAGCCACAGTTACCAGAGTCTGCAACTCAGATACGGGCCTCAGGGAGGAAACGTAAGAGTAGAGCAGATGATGATTTTAAGAAATATTAGAGAAATATATACTGATATAATCATCCAATTTATTCTAATTTATTCTGGAAGACCTATCTGTAAACAAAATACTCAATATTACAAGCAAAAAGTGCATTAATTATGCAGCTCCACTCTAGAAGGCTGTTTAGCTGGTTTGCTCTATATTAGGGCCCCAATGGGTTACCCAATGGGTTTTGGGTTATTACCTATAACCCAAAACCCATCGTTGGGTCGAGGCAATGGACCCAAAACCCATTTTGGGTTGGGTTGGGTTGGGTTAGGTCCGGGTTATAGTGGGTCGTGCCGAAGTCTACTAGATACCCCCAAATCTATCAACTTCCCCTTTGTATAGGAGTCCCATGGGAGTCCCACGGGAGTCCCACGAGAGTCCTACGGGAGTCCCACGGGAGTCCCGTCGAATAGACCAATAAGTGATATATAATAAGTGGGTCATTACCTATTTATGATATGTAGTCGCGCTACTTATTGTTTAGAATCTGCTAGTAGCAGGACGCGACTCTCCTACGTGTAAAGGTAGGCCTTAGAGATATCCTTTTCATACCCTCTTCCATTTTAATAAAATTGTTATTTAAGTATGTCTCAATATGAACTATATGCTGAGGCTGGCCCTTCATCCCAGGTTTCGTTCTCCCAAGCGGGAAACCCTCCACCTTCTTCAGTCTATAGTATTAGCATCATTAACGAGCCCCTTACGCCAGATCATTCAATTAGCCAGCAGCCGATCTACAGCGGGCCCGAATCTGCAATCCTCCATAGACCTGGCTAGGAACCGCGGGTGAACCTCACGAACCTCAAGGAGGTTCACCCACCCGGAGGTTAAGGTTCCATGACCTAGAACCTCCGGGCGGTTCTATCTTGGACCGAACCTCATGGAGGTTACCCGCGGGTGAACCTGAGGTTCAACAAGCATGACAAATAGGTAAAAAACGTGACTTAGGGTCAACTACATAAATTATGTAGAAATAGGCTGTATTCTCTCGTAATTATAAAACAGAAGTTCATTAATGTATGCCCTTATAGGAGGATTTAGTGCATATCATGGATTCAGCTTCGAATTAGGGTTTTAACTTTTAATTATCAATGGTTTATATTATATCTATAGTGCAGTGTCTGGTTATAGTTCTGAAGAGTCAAGATTCAAGTAATCAAGCTATATACCCATCCAGTAGTCTCGACTTCTTCCGTATTCTACCGGATGCACGATGCTGCGTATCAGGGAAGTTAGGTAAGGGTGATGCCCTATTCTTATCTGGTTCCGTAAATTCATCGGTATCAGAGTCTTCCTCATCGTCAGAATTAACTGCAGGCCGCTTTCCAGCGGCGACTACTGAGAGTAGCGGTGCGTCTGGAGTTACTTACGTAAATGATATAGCAGCCGGTGTATTAAGACGTATCTCAATATCCTCCTCATCATCACTAATTACCTCGAAAGCATGTGTCTGGACATCAAGTGCTTCGGCCGAAGCGGCTATCTCATGGTCTAAAAGATACTCTTGGAGAATCAGCCGCTGCTCCTCCTTGATATCGAATCTTGTTGTACACATGTATAACATAATATCGCGAACAGTCTCTGGGTTTAACGACCCCCGGCGGTAGTGGCATACATCCCGGGCAGAGTTAAAAAGACGCTTAACTCCGGCACCAGTCGCTGGAATTAACATGATATCACGGGTAATGCTTGTAAGAATAGGGAATTCCCTCTGATGATCTTTCCAGAAGATCCGAATAGATCCTTTAATAGTATCTAATTAGGTAAGGTTAGTTATATGATTCACAAAGTAGGCTTACTTACTTACCACTCTGGAGATATTTAGTGAGCTCGTCGTACTGCGGAGCAGTTAATCGTTATGAAGAATCGCCGTTAAGGGCCTTCTCAAGCTCCGATTCAGTTGTGAATAACTGGCTATCAGATTGTATCATCTCTAATGGTATACGTTGGCTGTATCTCTTAAAAAAAGACTGAAGACTCTCGCGGTATTCCTTTCTATAGTCCTTTCCTGTCTTAGGATCTGGGTCCTAATCACTTGTTAAAAAGAACTCCATCTTACTCGACGGCGCTAGGATCGTCCCAATTACATAGAGATTACCTTCGATACTATCTGTCTCGGCGTAGTATTTTTTTAGTTTCTCTTTCGCAGCATCGAGGGAGGAAAGCATTAACTGTTTCCAGGGAACCTTCTTTCGACGAAGCTGACCTATCGATCTTTTAAGATGATCGAAGAGCTTATTGTAAATCCTAAAGACAAGGTGGATACTCGAGTCTTTGGTACGATAAACTAGCGTAGTGAGCGTAAAAAAGGGCTGAAGAATATAAAGCAGATAGTCAATCTGTCGCCACCCCTCTGCACTCAATGTAAAATGGTGTTAATCATAGTCGGAACAGAACTTATTGAATGCGATATGAAGCCTCTTCGCCCGTCGGAGCATTAGAAATGTCGAATTCCACCGTGTACGAACATCCTAGATTAGAAGAAGCCGTAGCGTATTACTAGGCTGGGTATTCAGGAAGGCTTCCTTACGTTAAGGGCTTCCGTTGATATAAACCGTAAGACCTCGGACCTATCAGGAATCAGAATAGTTAGTATTATTAAATCATAATTTATGATTCATAAATAGAAGCATACCTTGTTTAGAGTATCGGCGATCTCATGTTTCTGCTGGCGCGCACGAAGTAAACGTACACGATCATTAGACCATTCTGTCTCGGCGTTATCATTCTTTGGCGAAGCCTTGATTTTACTAAGTAAATCAACTAGACTTAATTGAATAACATGCGCAAGGCAGGGCACTTGGATAATCGTAGATTCCGTCTCCATATGTAGCTTCTTGATTAAATCATTCACTGCTGCGATAAGTGTCTTATTATTAGACGCATTATTAGTTATCACCGCGAGCACTCGGTCAGCGATTTAGTGCTTTTATAGGATCTGGAGAACTACGTCCCTAAGGTTCACGCCAGTATGAGATCCAGAAATTGGCTCAAACCTAAGTAGGACCTCACGATACTCCCATTCCTGGTCTAGGAAGTATCCTGTGATAGCCATAAATGCGTGCTTAAATGGGGATGTCCAGCAGTTAAGCGTAATCGACATTTTTACACCAGATGGGAGCTGTTATAGTGTCTCTTATTAATACTCTGTAACGAAACCCCGGAGGCGGTCGCGAATCACCTTTCTTAATGGAACGCTCGGTGATGTAGGTGCTAGCCGTGCGTAGGAAATAAGGTCATGGAATTCTTGGTGCTCGACGAAGAGGAAGGGTAAATGTGATACAGTGATTAGGTTTAGAATCTTCTGTTCCCATGTTTATTAGGTAAAGAGAGGCGCTAGTCTTCTCTCGGCCTAGAATATAGTGAATTCATTATTAGTATTAATATTGAATTTAGGCTATTTCGAACATACCGCGTCGCTAAGTAGTTACTGGATATTACCCTTCTTCGTAATTCGCTGTCGACACCTTGGCCCATTAAGATGCTTCTGCATCGATAAGTTTCCAGTATGATTTATAGCTGGATGCGTAAGAACTATACGGCACCGATTGCACATAACGCCAGGCTTTCCATCTTTAGTATGTGTAACTTGTTGAAACCCAGTCCAGCAGTCTGCGCGACGGCTAACCTCCCAGTTTAGCCGCTTTTTCTTACTAAAATCGGTTTAAAGCCACTAGTTAACGAATTCCGCGGATATGTCGGTAGTAAAGACGATATACTCGTTAATACTATCTGGCTTGATTCGCGTAAGGGTGTCTAGGGCCCGAGGTCCTGCGCGAGATCGGACTTAGTTATCTAGAAGGTCTGGAAGGTCTAGAACTGAATTAAACTGGCTTTCGCGTTAGGATAGCGTATCGTCAGGGGTAAGGTATTGTAGCGCGTCTAGAGGTAACCCTTCGAAGCTAGATGATGCGTAGCCGTAGCCGTCGGTAATCTGAGACATGATAACTTTAGTAAACCAGTGTAACTTAGCGAAGATAATAAGGAACTTACTAGTTATTCTGTAGAAGTTACGGGGTCTTCTTAGGGCATCTGTTTATCCCTGTTCTATAATGCTTAAATTGATATATTAACTTTTATAAGCCCTATCTATATCTGATTCGCTAGTATAGTGGATCACTATAGAAACGAACCTCAATAAACCTTAACTAACCTCAACGAACCTCAATGGACCTCATCGAACCTTAACGAATCTTAACGAACCTTAACGAGAACCTTAATATAGGAAAAATAGAATGTCTAAGTCTAATAATTAGGACATTTAAACCGGATTCACGGTATATCTAGATTAATTAATCTGAATTCTAAAAGATAAAGTGATAGAAGAGGATATAACGGTTTAAATGATATTAAAATAAGGGGGAATTAAACTGCATCTTTATAGTTTTCTTGAAGAACAGTAGTTCTACTAATAAAGATACACATACTTTACAATGTCTGCGATATATATATCCATAACTTTACATGCCATTTTATCGATGACCTCTATTGATAACCCACCACGTCGATATCATCGAATATTACCTATAATTTATAGGTGACCACGCCTCCTATTTACTTTTCAATGAATATATCTTTATAATTCATTATGTTGATAAAGTATTCGGTGGAAAGTCTATTGGTTAACGAAACAGCTGTAAAAAACAGAGATGAATCATCAATTTTATCCAGCCAAAAGAGGAAAGGCGTCAAGAAATTATGTATATGCAGGTTCATGCGGGTCGATGGAGGTTGAACCTCAAAGAACCTCTGGAGGTTAATGGGCGGTTGGAGGTTAGTAAGGTTGGAACCTCACCTCAAGAGGTGAGGTTCGAGGTTCCGGGGTAGGGACCCATGCGGAGGTTCAAAGCCAGGTCTAATCCTCCAAACAGAGCCGAATCCGATTCCTCCAACCCTCCGTCGTATCGGTCCTAAACATCAAAAGTTCTGGGTTCTTTAGACTTCAATGAATAAAGCCGACTTTATTGAGTGGTGGCGTCATACAGCAGGTGCAAACCCATACCCTCCGCTACATAAAGTGAACTTTAATGCAAGGTATACCTCTACCGCTTAGGAACACTTTGATCAAGTAGCCCACTTCTAAACTGGGAAACCAATGGCACTCTGTCGGAGATATGGAAAAACAATCTTACACCCATCCTCATCAGCAAACGGTTCAAAGTCACTCGCTGCGCATTTATCTAGTCGCGCATGTATAGCTGCATCGAAAAAGGGGTCTATACAACAGGATATACAGCAATCGCTTAAACTTACGGTATTATATAAATCTGATTCTATATTCTATCTATCTAATACTAATATTTTCTTTACACTTAGGCCACTCGCCCACCTACCCGCAAGGTCTTTAACTAACAGCGATTCGAAAGAGCTTAAGTCAAATTCATAGCGAACTCACGGCTTCCATTCGAGGTCCTCCGGCATAAAGAATTCGAAGATCTTATTATAGAGGCTCAGCTTTCTTAACAGAAGCTTACCCTTCTATCACCAAAGACCGCGCGGCGTCGGCTCCAGTCAATCGTCCACACAGAGCAGCAAAAGCTTCTTTCTCTACTACCAGCTGGAGCAAAGTTATCAATTACCCTTGATTATTAGACTTCACCCTTCTAACAGGCATTCATGGCAATCACAGGCTATTTTGTGGATACTAACTGGGATTATCATGAGATCCTTCTAGGTTTTATGCCAGTTCACGGCCAGCATATAGGCTCTAATCTCGCAGACATTCTCCTTAAGATTCTTCAGCAGCAGAATATTATAAATCGAGTAATTATAATTACTACAGATAATGCGTTAAACAATAAGACCTTAGTTAATAGTCTATGTGATTCAATCGAACGGATAGAGCTTCCTAATTTCACCGAGATTATGCGGGTTCCATGTCTTACTCATGTGATTCAATTAAGTCTGAAAGATCTCCTTGGCCTAATGAAGGCTGATCCAAAAAACGATAAAACAGTAACAGTCTGGTCGGAAGAAAACGGGAGTCTTCTTTAATAAGTAAAGAGATAAAAGGGAATCATTTACACACTAGCTAAGGTAAAGTAATTAAAGCCTTCTTACAATTTTATTTCATACTAACCACTATACTACTAGGTACGGGCCTTCGCGGTTTTTATTAATGCTAGTCCACAGCGACGGGAGGCATTTCTAAATCTATAAAGTGAAGAACTAAGGCTTACTCCGATCCAGGATGTACGAACTCGGTGGAATTCAACATATCTTATGCTCCAGCGCGCTAATCGACTTTCCGGTAGCTACCACAGATATTACGCAGAACATCAGCGCCCAGAATTCCGGCTAAATAAAAGCGAGTGGCGGCAGATCGAATACTTACTCCATATCACAAAGCCTTTCTATAAATGGACTGTTAGCCTGTCAAAGATCAAGGCGATAACAATACATAATGTATTCCGGGTCTATAACCGACTGTTTACCCATTTTGAGCAGGCCTAGGCCCGCCTTCGACGAAAGAAAGTGCCTTAGAAAAAGGCTATGCTGAAGGCCCTTAAGGCCGGAAGTAAGAAACTCTTAGTATACTACAAAGCGACCGAGTAAGCACATAGAAGCCTATATGCAATTAGTATAATTCTTACACCCCAGCATAAGCTTAAATACTTTAAAGGGCCAGAATGGGCAGGTGATGTTAATAGCATGGATTCCTCCTAGTATAATGTGTATAAGGCGTCTCTTCATAAGCACTTAGAGGAATACTTAAAGCGCCAGCCAGAAAAGTAAGTACTTCCGAGGGCAAAGCCCTCCTCGCATAGTACAGATGCGATAATGAGTCTCTTCGAAGAGGATTAGCCAGAGCCACTACCACAGCCGAAGACTGGGTGGTAAGAAGAACTAAAGGGATATCTTAATACTGGTATGTTTATATGATCATGATCATAAGTTAACTAATCTAACCCTATATAGAACGGAGTTTAAT